GACTACATGTACCTATTGATAGAGAGCAAAGAAAAGAGAGTAGAGAGAAATATGGACACAGATATAGATACACATATTATATAGATATATGGACACACAAACAGATAAGACCAATTGATAAGTAGACAGAACAAGCCTTCACAAGCTCTTCTTCCCACATCTACATTAACCCTATCCGTACGACCTGGGGTCATTTTGTACCCCTGGGGTTGTATTCTTCATATTTTAGAATACTTTTAATTCGAAGATCTCTTTCAAACTTTCAGTATTTCTTAAAAAATCATTTTGACAGACGGCTATGCAAAGCGTACGGATCAGTTTAACGAGTAAATTTCCTCTTTGGAAAGTGGTGGCACAGAGTTCCCCACGTCGTATGAATACCATAATAAAACACGACGTACGGATAGGGTTAACAAAACCTGTCAGACCGTGTTTTGGGATATTACATAGACCCAGATAAATCGAACTAAAGAAAATGTTAATTAGAAAAAACAATTTATTAATCTCCAAGAACTTGATGCATGGATAGTAATAAACTATTTACAGACAAAACATTGTTTTTATATTATATATATATACGGATTTATAGGTAAAAAACCAAATGTTTTTCAAGGAGCTCAACTCCGAAAGGACGCATACAACAAGACTCATCCATAAACTTATATCTACTCAGAACATTGCCAAAGACACAAGCTTAAAAAAAAGTGCCTTACATTGAACACATTCATAAAATCTCTGTCTCGTTTCTACTCCCAACAAAGGCACTATTTCATGATTACCTATAGGCATTCAGTTACAACAATGGCATTTATATTTCACTACTACTTCTGGGAAGAAATTCTAGAGTGTTACATTGAACACTTTTATTGACCATTTTAACACATAAGTAAAAAGACAATCACAGATTTGTTGTCACCTTTGTCGTCAGACATGAGAACATCCTTAGCAGTTCATTCTTCGAACACGATGCTTGAGTAATTATGTCACTATTGTCATGTTTAGTTCTGCCTACAGTTCATAAGGTAACAAAAATAGGCTTTGAAAAGGAATTTTCCCTATAATACAGGAATAAAAGAAAAAAAAAAAAAGCCAAAATAAAGTAATGAAAAATCTCAACAACAAAAAAGAGAGAAAAAAAAGTAGAAATGAAAGAAATATACAAAGTAGAGCAGATGACATTGCTTGGAGGTAGGTTGTGCTGTGTTCACTTCTTCATTCATTACTTTTTTTTCTTAGTCTTCCACTTCTCAAGTCATCCTACTCATTCTTTACCTCTGCATTCTGACATTGTTCGAACCCCCCAAACTTTAAAAGACCCATTTGTTCACTTTAATACTTGTGCACTGATAGCCAGTTATACTTTCCTGTGGAATAACTTATTGAAAACGTATTAAAAGGTTACTACCCTACACTAATTAGTCCCACAAAAATCAATACCAATTTATGCTGGCAGACGTAAACTCTCATGAACAAAGAAAGAAAGCTACAAGAAAACTTTAAAACACTTAACAACTAGATCGGTGTTTTCGAAATTACAAGGCCCATGAAGAACAATTTTATGATAAGGATGGAATATACCAACGTACATATATGTGTGTACATAGGCACCTGTGACTATGAGCACATATATGAATATATGTGTATAGAAGTGCGCCTTAGATTGAAGTAATCCTTGCAACAATGTACAGTTTGAAAAGTGTTAAGCATGACTTATTCAGCTGCAAAGCACAACCCTTCAAGGGGTAGAGTCATCTATTTTGAAACCTCTGTATCTTGGCTATTTCCTTTTTAAAAATACTATGATCCTTTCACTGTCTTGATCATGGCCTGGAGTGCATCCCACTGCTCGTTAGTGACCTCTGACAGTCCAGTGAACATGCCCGAGGAGCACGGGTACTCACCCCCATTCAGACGAACGATCTGTAATATTTGTAGAAAAGAAAAGAGAGAATGTTTGGATTTGAAAGAAAGCAAAATGTTTAGTATATAAATACTATGTGTCACGACAAGGCGGAATCATGCACTCGTCAATTAATGGGCATATGGTGGGGTTATTGGTATAATCTTAAAGCCTGTTCATTTAGTGAAAGAAATATCCATCTATGCTGAATAGAAGTCGGAATATTTACGATTGAAGGAGGTCAGGGTCGCCTGTTTTCAGAGGTAAAATAAGCGAGAAAAAGGCCGCCAAAGTTTGGTAACTTTCATACCCTGAGAGTCCTTGGAAACTGGAAATGTACATTTTTTGTGCCTTTCATCAATGTTTTTAGGTAAAATCCACACAGAAATGAGTTATTAAATGGACATAAAAGGTATTGAGCCTTTTACATATATATAACATGTGTTGTGTGACGGTGGAATACGACGCTTGAAAATTTGGGGGCATGTGGAGTTATTAGTATGATCTTAAAGCTTATGTATTTGTCTCGCTTTTGATGAAAAAAAGCCCATCTTTATTGCATAGAAGTAGAGATATTTGCAATTGAAAGAAGTAAGGGTTGCCTCGTGTCAGAGTAAATCTTAGCAAAAAAAAAAAATTACAGCCAAATTTCGGTAATTTGCAAAGATTGAGAGCCCTTGTTAACTGTAAATTTACGTTTTTCATGCCTTTGATCAATGTTTTTCAGTAAAATCAAAGCAGGAATGCGATTTTACCTGGAAATAAAAGATAATGAACCAAAAAAAGCAAATTCGAAAAAAAAAAGCCCAATACGGCCAAACAAAAAGCAGGTTTCCTCGATTTCATTATTTTGACGAGCACTTGATTTCACCATGATGCGTGCCTCATATGCCAAACGACACATACAAAAAAAGTAAGTAAGACACTTGTAGGTTAGTACACTAACGTATCTGTGAAATGTTCTCATCTGAAGTCTGATAGTCTTTTATACAAGTTTGGCTGGAACTTCACAAATAATGTAATCCTTAATCACATGATTTTCTTTGCAAAAAATTCCCAAAAAGTAAAGTTGACACCAGTCCTCGGGCCGAAATAGGCCTACAGCTTTGTAACTCTGAATGCAAAGGGGAACAATTCAGTCTGAGGAATTACAAGTTTAATTTGCCAAAATGATCTCCCCTGTCTTCGTAGGAAGTTGCAACACCTTTAATAGTCCATTTTCTTTTCTTCAACGCAGCAATACAAATGATTGCCTTTGACAGACAGTACCAGACTCCTTTCAACATAGATTGCAAGGCTTCTTGACGTTTAAAGTGGGGTGGGAGATGAGGACGGAAGAAGGAAATGACATGCTCTTACGTGTACCTCTGCATCTTTGCTCCACCCCCCACCCCTTTTACCAGTAGGTAAAATAGGAAGAAAAAAATAATAATACACAAATTCAGGCAAAGGGGTAGCAGCTGGTGTTCTTGGAAAAAGCTCATTTTTTCCATATTTCAGTAAAAACCAAAATTAAATAGTCAAACCTCGTTATACCACCTCGCTTTACTGCCAGGTTCTGCCTATGTACGATAAGGAACGCCTCTATATAAACATAGTATTTGCACCTTTGCACTGCCATCCGTTGTCTGATCTGTTTGGTCCCTATTAAACTAATGTAAATTTGTCCCGCAATACCACCACTTGACGCCAGTGGTACAAACTACACAAGGAGCATGCCACCCAGTTGGTGGCTGCTATATAATCTTTCCCATAGGTTTCTGCGAGCTCAGCATACAATTTAAATAAAAAATGCATATTTCTAGTGCTTGTTGTCAATTTGCTCCTGATTTCCTTTGATAATGAAAATGTTACTATTTTTAGTCTTTCGTCAAAGTTTTTTTTTAAAATGGATTTTAAAACATATTTTCATATTTTCTTATCCATGTCCACCTTTGGCCCATTTTGAAGCATGGGACATCATTAAGATCTGATCTCTCTATTCATCATCATCCTGGGCTGCTCTCTCTTACTGTCTCCAGGAAAGTCTAGAGTTCTTTGTTTGTGCATCCACATCACGGTGGGCATATTGTGAGGCTAATCCATCTCCATCCCCTCTAAGAGATATTATCTAAAGCATATAGTTTTGGAGAGAGAGATAGAGGAGAGAGAAAAAGAAAGAGGGAGAGAGAGAGAGAGAGAGAGAGAGAGAGAGAGAGAGAGAGAGATAGAGAGAGAGAGAGAGAGAGGGGGAGGGGAGGGAGAGAGAGAGAGACAGAAGGTGGTAGAAAGAGGGTGAGAGAGAGACAGAGAGGGTGGGGGGGAGAGAAAGACGCGAAACGCTTAGCGGCGATGTTGTTCTACTTCACGACAATGCAACTCCTCACAAGTCTGCACAGACCCAAAACCTGATCGCCTCCTTCGGATGGGAACAGTTGAAGCACCAATCGTAAAGCCCAGACCTGGCTCTGAGTGACTTTCACCTGTTCCTGCATTCGAAAAAGTTTTTGGCCGGGCAGGACATCGACTCAAACGCTGATCTCACAAGAGAGACTGGACATTGGCTGACATCGCAGGCGGCAGCTTTCTATGATGAGGGCATTCAAAAGCGCGTCTCATGCTATGACAAATGCCTCAACAGTTCTGGTGACTACGTGGAAAAGTAGTCATATATATATGAGGTATTAAAAAATAAATTGTTTTGATTAGGAAAATGATTTCTTTTATACTTGTTTTAAAACGGTACTACTTTCTGGACATCCCTCGTAATTACACAAAAGTCGTATAAAAATTTTATTTGCTGACTATATTCAAGGAACAAAATAGGATGTAAGGTTAGAGTCAATACAGAGCAGAGATCGGTCAATGTAAAGGAGAACTTTGCTTACCTGGCCATTAACCCAGCTGGCGTAGTCACTGAGCAAATAAGATGCCAAATTTGTAAACTCTCCTACTTCTCCAATACGACCCACTGGGATTTTCCCTATGAACCTACTCATGAACTGCCCAGTAGGGTCCAATCGACTGAAAGCTCCCTGTAACATAATGGAAAATAGTTATTAGAAAGTAAGCAAACTGAACATTAGACATCTGTTCTTTCTCGTTTAATTAAACATATAAGGGTCCCTGTAAGTCAAAGCTTTTGTCTTTAAACATCCAAACAATCGGTATCTATAAGCCATTTTAATTGAAGGATTCAATAGTCATCATTTCTCCTCTGCATCGTATTAACATTCCTACGGTCTCAGAAAGTTGCTTTCCTTTCAGTCCTGTGTCAATAAAGAGACAAACATCTCATTTAGAAGAGTTTGAAAAAATGGTTTTCAGATCAAATTGGGACATTGCAAGGAAGAGTGCAACCCAGTAGACCTTAGTAAATAGAATCTATGATAATTATAAGAAATAAAAAATACCTTAGTCTCGATCGGGCCTGGAGCAATAACGTTGAACCTCATGCCATACCGCGCCCACTCTGCAGCAAGAGATCGAGTCAATGCCTCCACACCAGCCTTGGCACAAGCGCTGTGCAGAACGAATCCCGAACCAGAGTCAGCATAGTCAGCAGACACAGCCAGGAATGTCGCACCTGAATGTAGAATATTTCATACATCATTACAAAAGATTCCGCAGTACATAAGATAAGATAAGATAAGATAAAATTCTGAAGTACATCAAGAGTTACAGGCAAAGACAGAGCTTTTTCCTCATACCCATGGACAGACTTGAGTTCAAACTGCTCTTTTATGTAAGTATGAACTCTCTTGTAGTTTCAGTACCCTGATTATGCATCAGGGGATCAGTTGCTTTTCATAAGCGATTCATTTTGAACTTCTGATACATAGCCACAAACAAGAGAAAGCTTTAAAAGAAAAGTTAACGGTGTCAAGAGAAAGCACAATGCTTTTTTATGTTGTTACAGCATACTACATCAATACTATTCACATTTTTTATTGTTCGATTTTTTCAAATTCCAAGACACATCTTTTACGAGCACAAAAAGGAATCTTTCCATTTATTCATGAATATACATATTTAAGACTGAATAGATAAATGCTTCGTAAAAGCCGGTTAATTTTGGTCTCTCATTACATTTCTTATGCTGTCACTGTAATTTTTAAAAGGCTGAATTCTGGTTACCTTGCTATACAGGGTTAGCAATCAAACCAGGACCTACTCTTCTTTTAAAATTATTTTTTGTTTGTTTTAGCAACAGCCATGATTTATTGTTAGGTTAGTGTTACCACAGCACAAGATATCAGATATCAAAGCAAAAATCAATTAACGCGGCCTTCGGTGAACTCTGTATAATTCCGATTGTTGTTTCTTTGCTCTTTCGCTGTAAAACACCAAATGCTGTAGACCTTGAAAAGGTCCAGCTTTTCCTCGTTACAATGGTGTAAGTTGTTTATTTATCCGAGTATTTGGAGCTGGATAATCGCTGGCCTTTTGAATGCCTGGTCGTCCAGTTAAAAAATTAACACTTATGCATTCAAATGCTTCAAAGAAAGACTGATGATTAAATACCTTCTTTTCATTGGCAGAGAACTATAGAGCTTTGAAACGGGCTTTCCCGCAGTATATTTTTGGCCGTTGGCGTTTAAGTAGAAAGCCTTAAAAAAAACAGTCAAAGTTTTCACACATCATTATGAGCAGAGAATATGTAAAAATACTGGCTCAAAAAAGGTACCAATAGAAAGATCAGTTCATTTTCTATTTTAAAATCATCAGCTTGGAATTATTTTGCATGAATCCTTCGGCAAAACTCCGAAAGCATGTGACCTCCCATGTGGGGAGCACTCAGTACACTACAGTATAGAGTCAATTCGCTTGCCACAGGAGCCGGCCGGGATAACGCTCTGTGTTTTTGTCGAAATAACGACAGACCATCCTATTTGAGGCAATAAAATACTGATTTGCAATGATCTCAGTCCAGAAAAAAGTTAGGCTTCAAATTTATGTTATTGTGATTACGGTGCACTTGCTACTCTTCTATTATCTGTCAAACATGGGGTTGCAGACGGTCTGCACCTTTGCAATATTTTATCAATTTGCTAAAACAACAGCTGCCATTTTCTTAAAAGTTAACTGAAAGGTGAAAGAATGGTACCAAGATTCTCAGGAGACGTATGCCTTTCGTATGGAACAGATACATTTGGCATACAGCTAATCTGAAAATTTAGTTTTAGGTACCTAATTATCCATGTTATGAAAGATGACAAACCTTTGCCAGCCTTGATTAGGCGCTTGCCAACATCAAGCGTGATATAAGCTGTTCCATTGAGGACAATATTGATGACAGTTGTGAAGGCATTTGCAGACAATCGCTCCGCTGGAGTGATAAAGTTTCCAGCAGCATTGTTTACTACAATGTCTGGCAATCCATACTGTGATTCCATCTGATCAAAGACTTCCTTGATAGCTTCAGGGTCTCGCACATCAAGTCTGTAGTGGCCCACCTAACAAACACACAAGGAAAAATATATAAATCTCATTGACACTAAAAAGGAAATAATCTCTCAAGATTTATTGCTTCTTTCCAGTAGAGTGTAAATATAGTAGGCCAATGACTTTCAGTTGATGTTAAAGCACGCTCATTCCTTTTGTAGAAAAGGGGTCCAGCTAGTGTTACATAATAGACCTTGATTTTTAAAACAAAATCAGCCTTGTTTGTTAGCGACTGTTAGGCTGATAGTAGCAACTAAATTACATACCATGTTCTTGAGGGCATGTGCACACATAGATTACAAATCACATCTGCTCAGACAAAAACACCCACCCAGACACACAGATACACTGCACAAACATACTAACATTTTTACTATAATTTATGAGTGTTATATTCTATTCAAACCTTGTAAGAGTCTACAGAGTAATGGGTTGTTTCAAACACTGCTAACCTCATTCCCTGTAGCTTTAGAAACTTCTTCAGCTGTTTCCTGCAGTCTCTCCAGGCTCCTGAGAAACACAAGGATATTCATTTTTTCCATCACTCGGATAATAAAAAGCAAAATTCAAAAACTTTTGCACAGGTAGTTCAAACGCAAATTTTCTTTTCTGCTCATAACCACTGTCCTCTTCTTTGGGTCCAAAATGATTTTGTTCCACCCCTTATTTAATAAAGCGCAAGAGGCAAACTTATTTCACAGCAGTTCTCAAGAGGACAACAGACAGGGAACTAAGGGACTGACGAACACAAACATCTATTGGACTGTAGTCGTAGGCAATGAAAACATTCTCCATACTATATACAAACTAAAGGATCACATCTTGGCTACAGGAAACAGCACACACAACTGATCAAATTTTATAGTCTCAGTAACCATCATATTCTACCCTTTATTCCACTCATACCCACACCACCCTGACCATCTGCACCGGTAAGGGTTCACATAGAGATGGGAAAACATCTATCCCTAAATCGTACCCATACTACCCTTCCACACCTGGCATAATGCTTAGAGCCAACGCCAACTTTGTAGAAAATACAGTAGCGTTGTTTAGAGCCGATGGAACCAAACTTGATAGTCTTGTTTCAAATCGGGTCTCAGTGAGTAAAGCATTTTCTTTCAGTTTCTGTGTTAGACAGGTTACCATTTTACAGAAGAGGAACTTATCAAGGAGGGAGTGGGGAGATCCCATTATGACAGGTTCCCGTTTAACACAGGTTTACATTAATGCAGGTTCGAATGTACTTTGCATCCTGCTCAGGCAAATCAAATACACACAGGATAACTACTACTTAATAAACTTACTACCCTCACCTGCTGGCTATAACGACCTTTGCACCCAGCTGTGACAAGTTTTGCGCCAAACCTTTTCCCAGGCCTGTTGCGCCTCCAGTGATAAAAGCCAGTTTGTTGTTGAAGGTTCCCTCAGGAAGCATTGGGGTTTGGACAGGTGGGAAAAACTTGGCTTGTTCCAGCTTTTTCAGGGGCTGACCAGTCCAAATGGAGCGATGAAGGCCATAGACCATCTTCAAAATAAAAATACATGTAATTGCAGCCCACAGAGTATGGTCTGAATTTTTCCAGCAAAATTTAATAATACACATCAGCACAAATTTCTATCCTTGAAAACACAAGCCTACTCCTCAATCATTATTGTCCGCTAAAAAATCATATATCTTTCTCTTAAGCTGACCCATTTAACAAATATTTTCAGTAGACCCTAACACAAGGTTACAAAATATATATTCAGTTTATTACATTCCCCCCGGGGCAGTGCCACTGACTGAAGTGTCTTTAGGCCATTCCCAAAGAAGGGGACATTTCTCGTTCAAGCATTGTAGAATTGTAAATGGGCTGACTCATGTCACGCTCATAACTATGCCTGATCTACGACAGGGAACTGCTGCTTTTTCTTTCCTGATCCTTACTATTGTCTTTTCCTCTACTTCTTTTGTATGTTTGTCACTCTCTTGTGACCTGGTATTTAGGGGTGCCTTGGTAGTCAAAGCACACCTTGTGCTGTTGAAGCTAGAGAAGTGAGCAGTCTAAGTCTGATTCCCGGTAAAGACTTCTCTGTTGACACCCACTCCTTGGCGCTCATATGACCTTATGCAGTTGCGAGCGCCGTAAAACACTCTACTATAGAAATTTTTTTTATTACAGTACTTCATTTCTTTTCAAAATAAAATAGTAGCACAGGCTGTTAAATCGAGCCAAATGCAAGTAAGTTGGTCTGTTCAATGAATTATTGTTGTGTAATAATCACTAACTAACATAGGGTGGCGTGTTGATAGTACTTAGTTTTCTCTTTTATTCTGTTCATTCTAAAGCTTGTTGTTTACACAACTTCAGGAATTCTAAGAAAATAGGTGAACAAAAGGAAGTCACATTTCTACAAAAGTCATTTGATGATTTATCACCGATCAATATTTATCTTGTTTAGTAATTTTCAAAGTTAAAATTAAAGGGAATATTTTGGAAGACAATAAGAAAAAAAGGTAAGGCTCAGGGCAGGTTGGTTCAAGAGAAGCAGAGGAAGATTACTTCATGATGTCCAGTAATTTCAGATTTCAACTCTACAGGCCTACTGCAGTTTTAGAGTTACAGAAAACAATCCCACAGACTTAAAATGCCAGGTCCAGGAAGCCATGAAGTTTTTAATCATTCTTTAAAAAAATTAATTAAAAACTAACCGAAAATTCATTTTAACTGTACTAGATAGCCAATTTCTTATTGTAAAAGTTTGTTTAATGTTGCAAGTTATCATTAAATCTCTGCAGTCTGACAAATGATGTGGCCCTAGATAGCTTGTTCACTTTCGTCTGACTGTGGAATGGTTAAAATAAGATATATATATACAGTCAAACCTGTGTAAGACGGCCGCCCATTGCCAAGGAGAAAAGAGGCTGTTATAAGACAGGTGGCCGTCTTAGGCAGGACTGATCAAGATGAAGAAAACAAACCCTTCTTTTCTGAGGTCCCAACAGAAGACAGCTGGAATATTGTTGTTGTTATTGTTGTTGTAGTTGTTGTTGTTGTTTTCGCTTCTTTTGACAATAAAACGAAATGTGTCAGACAAAGAGGACCGAGTGCTATGGTAAAACAGACACATATATATTGGTCACAACCATTCAGAGAACGAGCAACGCTTCTGTCACAAGTTCATGTTGACGTCCATTGTTATTTTGTTACAGAATGGGTAAACAGTGACCTCTCATCTCACTTACGATTTGAGTATGAGTTCTAGGCGGGGCTTATGGGTCATGAGGGATCACACGATTACCTCACCAGCAGCTGAAAATTTGTTACAGGACCTATTGGTCAACAGTGGGAGGGGCCTACGCAACATGATCGGTTGGAGGGACTACCTAAAAACAAAGACAGGTGATTTGATTATGACGGCTTGCCCACAACGCCAGGGGCAAATGCACAATTTTTTTATGACAAAACATTATAATGAATAGAGTCACAAAGGTGACCGTCTAATACGGGTGTTATTGCTTGGGGTGAATGGGGTTACATTGTGAGTTGAAATATGGTGGGCGCGGCCGCATTGGACATGTGCTCATTTTACACACTTAAATTATATAGAAAAAACGCAAGGGGGGAAATGGAAAGTTGCCGTTTGTACAGGTGGTCGTCTTATAGAGGTGGCCGTCAGGGCAGGTTCGACTGTACTGTATTTCATGTTGTTTGTTGTTTTCAAATCCCTTTAGCTGTGAGCATTTCGCTCCAGTGCAATGCCTCCCTCAACTAACCACATCATGTCCTTGTCACCTGGTTGTTGGGCGCGATCTGTCGATTTGCGCGATCCATCGATCGTACAGCGCATTTGGTTGATCGAGGAAACGCACGACAATCCATCGATTATTGAGCATTCTGTTGATCAGCGGATCGCGCAGCCCTTTTCGTCGATCCATTAAATATATATACTTACTGTGCATTCTGTCGATAAACTATGATGGTGAAATGAATAAAAAAGAAAAAAAAATTGTTTTACTGAGCATGTCAGTCTTCGAGCGTCCTGTTGTGTTGCTTCCAAGAAGAGTTGTGTGTTGAACTTAAATGTTGACGGTTGAGTGAGGCAGATAAATTGACACGACGTTAAATCGAGCACCTGCACTCACTATTTGGACGGATTCGATTGACTGAGTACTTCACGTGGTATTCCAAATACGGTCAAGATTTAATAGTTTGTGATAAATTGTTGTGTATTGATTAAAAATGTATTATATACAAGTATTGTCTTCTTTATTGTTTCATTGAACAAGAGCACCTCGAGCCCAACTAACTGTGGGCGCCTTCTTTACGTTGTCGCTGAGTTTTTAGTCCTACGCAATTGGCATGGAACTTTTTTCGTTTGGGACCACAATAACGTCAACCAAACCAATGCCTGGCATGTTCATCTAGGAACATTTGGATGCTTCAAATTTTTAACAATCATGTCAAACTTCTCTTTGGTCAGTAATGCAGACCCAGGATTTTTAGACGATAACTGCCCTTCTTTCTCCATTATCGCTGTGAACCGCTCCATATTGAATAAGTGTTTGGAGTGATACTCACCGACCTATAACCCTGATTTCAACTTCCGTTACTGTGATGTATCTAGATCTAGTAAGTTATTGTAACCCTGACTTCCAGTTTTACTTCCATCCATTCAGTTTCTGTTTGACTTTGGAGAGTGAGACTAAATTACTCTGGACGACAAAAAAACAAACAAAAAAACTCAGGCAACCAAACGGATCAACATAAAGGGCTGCGCTATCCGCTGATCAATAGAATGCGCAAACAATCGATGGATTGTCGCACGTTTCCTCGATCAACCAAATGCACTGCGCGATCGATGGATCGCGCAAATCGACAGATCGCACCCAGCATGGTCAACGCCAGAGTAGAGCAGGCTTTGTAAGTCTGTAGAGGTGTCTGTAGATCTAGATCAATGAATTTTTTTTTTAACACGGACAGACGAAAGTGAACTAGATCTAGAATCTAGTAACAATGTAAGTCTAAAATCTAGATGATCTTGTAATTCAGATATCTACTATAGTTGAGTCTAGATCTAGAGTCTATAGACCTAAGACAGACCATTATAATCATAATGATTAATCACAAAATACATTGATGAAGAAAAAGTGGTCAGTAGGCCTAGGAGCTAAATTTGGAATCTAGGTCCATTTTAAATACAATTTTAAAGAGTGAGCTTTTCAATGACAGTATTGACAGAGGTGTAATTCTGGATTTCCTGACACGTAGATTATCTAGACCAGACCAGACCATCAATGATTTATTTTTATAGAGGCACCAGTCATCCATGTCCAGGTGCTGTTTTAGCCTCTTTTTCCTGTATTCGGATTAATAATATCTTTTTGCCAATTTATTGGTTCCGCTTCTATGTACCCCATATCTATGGTTCTCAACATGGAAATCGCCTGTAATTCGCTGTAATTGCCTCCCCCCACCCCTTCTCATCACCCCCCCCCCCCGTGTCATCATTTATGTTACCGTCTATTTTTATCTATAGTTCACGTTTATGGATTAAGGGCAGTATTAGTGATAATTTTAAGAAAAAAAACCATCAATTAAATAATAAATTAATAAATAAATAATGCTAATGATTATCATAATACAAATGTTGATAATGAGAAGAAGAAGAGGAAGAAGAAGAGGAAGAAGAAGAAGGAGAAAAGGAAAAGGAAGAGGAGGAGGAGGAGGAGGAGAAGGGGGAGGAGGAGGGGGAGGGGGAGGAGGGGGAGGAGGAGGAGGAGGGGAGGGGAGGAGGAGGGGGAGGGGGAGAAGGGGTAGGACGGGGAGGAGGAGGAGGAGGAGGAGGAGGAGGAGGAGAAGAAGAAGAAGAAACACGGTCATATATAACATCAATATAAAAAACAATAATATTAACAATAGAATTGATTTTGATTTGAGTAAAATTATCTAGACACTTACTCTAGATGTTCTCAAAACGTAGTTTCCATTTCCAGCCATCATTGTTTAGTCGAAGATCAGAAGTGGAATAGACAGTTTTTGCTAGGGACAATGTATGATCAGATGCCAGTCTGATTGAACAGTACTTTGAGAGGTTCAAAGTTCACTTTTTATTCAAGAACTCTAGGCCAATAATTTCATGGTCCTTGGACTGGACTGGATCGTTACAGATAGAAAAGACCAAAGCTTCGTACAACCAAGTGAGTGAAATTCAGAAAGAATTAATAAAACAAACAGAAACTTCATCTAAAAGATGCACAGATCTAGATCTAGACTTCACAAATTTTAGCTGATGAGTTTGGAAAAACTAAGGCTGCTCGTTGTAAGATTCCCAAGTCCGCAACTTCACCTAGCAGCAAGCCATCGTTGTTTTGTATGTGGCGGGAGAAGGTATTGTTTATTGATATGAAACATTGTTGAGCCTACAAAAAGCATAATACCTTTATGTATACTAAAAGGTAGATTAAAAATGAAATTTATTTAATCATATTTAATTGTACTAGAATTATTCATTTTTCCATAAACCTTATGAAATATTATTGTTTAAACCAATGAACTATCCCCCATACTTCCTCATTACCCCCCTTCCTACTTTCACTTTTCAGTTTCATAAAGGACTGGCCTGAGCCTGAAAGCAACCTTGTTTTTCGACGACAACAAACTTCTATTGAGTTGCGAATATACAGATTTGACCACTCATTCTCTTGATGATTTTATCGTCTTTTGAGTGTTTACCCCCCGATCTGTCGATATTGCCACTGTGATTTGTTATTTAATTCCGTCATTCAGTCAGTCAACCATGGCAAGCCTCACGTACCGGATAGCCTCAAGGGTACGTCGTTCATTACTCACATCACATTCATTCATTATTATGATGTCATAGTACTAGAGAATCTAGATAGAGATGCGACTTGCGACACGTTGGCTTACATTCATTAACACAATAACAATCTCCAAATGTGAGTGTGTATGAACCCAACACCCATGTTTCCTTGGCATAGCAGAGTCTATGATAGAGGGCATTGGAAGGACTTAAAGGAGCAACCACCCCCAACAAACACTAATTCAATTAATTATTTATAAAGAAGAGACCAAGATATCTATCCTTATCCTACCCCTATCCCTCTTCTATTCTACTCTGTCTTATAATGTTCGCTCGTTCCGGAAGTCTTCTCAGGGCATTTCAATCCGAGTGTTCTACTTAGTTTTTCCTTGGCCTCGGGCCAACGCTATTTTCACCTGGGGTGACAATAGCGCAGTTGTAGGTGTCTCACCCAGGGTGAGAGGGTGAGCCTTTTAGCTATTCTGAGTGTCTCACCCGGTGTATGTTCACCTTGATACCAGTGTAAACAAATATTTTAGCGCTTTTGTGTTGAAAGCGTGCAATTTTGTCTGCGGGGGGGGGGGGGGGGGGGAGAAAGTAAGAAGAGAGAGAGAAGGAGTAACGACAACTTTCGGGCCGAACAAAATGGCGACCGATGTAGTTTCGCTCGATTTGAAAAGTGAAATAGCGGTAGCATCTTTGCAGACGACCTAATTAGTTACTTAGTAATAGTTAACTTTTGTGCTTCTATAACATCGTTAAATTTTTCTTTTTTTAATTTTGTCAATTTGATCATCCACACCGATAGACATTCAGAAATTAGGAAAAACAGGTGTTGTTTCACACCGGATGAGAATAGCCAACACAGGTAAGTCTCACCTGGATTGAGAGTGAAAGATCGATTGTATTTTTTATTCTCATTCGGGGTGAGAATAGCCACTGTGCTTTCTTTTCCTTGACCCAATTGTTCAACTTTGTTTTTAAATTCTCCCATGGCCCATGGTAGGCCCTAATAGATTTTGGCAATGAGTATATTCTCACCCGAGTTTTTCGTTTCCGCCCTTTTTATAAAAATCGTTTAGGTTTTGAGCGTCTATCACAGAAAGTATTGGATGTTGGGATTTCACTGATATCATCTGTTTCTAGATCTAATCTAGATCTAACTTGCAAAAAATCCTGGAAAAAATTTTATTTGCCCCCCCCCCCCCAAACAATTTATATCCAAACCTTTTTGAGTCTTTCAACACAATCCCAAACATTGAGTTAGAGTGATGAGTCGTCCTCAGCCTTCTTCTTTTTACACTGTTTAGGTCTCTCATGCCCATGAGTGCTGATTTGCACTGTCATTGTCTCTGCATGCTACTTAATAGGGAGTGTATACTGACCCGGTAACCGGGAACAAAGTCACAAAATATACAGACCCGGTAGGGGAACTATTTTGTGATTTTGGAAAGTTTCAGCGCCCTCTTGGCACAGGGTAGATCTAGACAGACAGACATTGATCTAGTTTCAAGGCTAGCCTGGATCTAAATCTAAATGAAGATTGCGGATATGTCTTTTCGACGAACGATCGTTTTTCCTCCGTTTTGGAGTTGGAGGAATCACAATTTGAAGAAAAGAACGTCATAATTTCAATCGAGCAGTACCCTCTCTATTTCTCTGTCTGTCTGTCTGTCTGTCTGTCTGTCTGTCTGTCTGTCTCTCTCTCTCTCTCTCTCTCTCTCTCTCTCTCTCTCTCTCTCTCTCTCTTTCCTCTGTCTCTGTGTATCGCTCGCATTCTCTTTTTCTTTGTTTGTCTCTGTCTTTCTTTCTCCCCACTTATTTCCCACTCTATCTTTCTCTCGTTCCCTCCTGCCAACTGGGGCATCATGTCATACATTTTGCTAGCACTTCCCCCTGCTCTCTCTCTTTCTCTCTCTCTTTCTCTCTCTCTCTCTTTCTCTCTCACTCTCTATCTCTCTCTCTCTCTCTCTCTCTCTCTCTCTCTCTCTCTCCGTCTCTCTCTCTCACACACACACACACACACACTACCGGGTCTGGGCGCTGAAACTTTCCGAAATCACAAAAGAGTTCCCCTACCGGATCTGTATACTTGTGACTTTGTTCCCGGTTACCGGGTCTGTATACACTTGGTGCTAAATATAATGTTGTTCTCTTTTAAATAGAGATTATATTATGCTACAACTTTCTTTTCCATTATAATTCTTCCTTTTGAGCCATGATGGTCAGATAAAAAGGTTGCAACCTTGAGTATATATTCTCACTGTGCTTCTACTGCTAGGTCTGTCCCACCTTTTAATTTATTCAAATACTATTGTTTTTAATAGGCTTCCTAGGTTGCTTTTGTGCAGCCAAGAATTACATTTATTTGTGTTTCAGCTCATAGACATCTCTAAAATGTCTTGTTTAGGTATATATATAAGGTATGTCAGTGCCTGAGGAAAGTTTGGATTGGTGTATTTTTCCTCATGTTAGCATGAGTATGCTTTTATAAATCATGAGCATAAATTCAAAACAGTAAACAGTTATTGGGACAAGATGAATCTAATGGTCCTGTTGTAGTGATGTTTGATATATTATAAAACCATTTCTACACCCATCATAATGATAAATTCAAGAGCATGAAATTTTCCTTTTTGTTGTCATGGTATAGTGGCCTTTATAATATTATATAATCATTGTACCAATCAACTTCTTTGTGTCTGATTCCACAGGTCAGTGCCACAGAACAACTTTTTGTTAGAGGCTGTCTCCTGTTCTTTATAATCTTTTTTTGTTAATTTCTTTGATTAGATGTGGAGAACACTTCAAGCTCCAATAGCGTCACGTTTCAGAGCACGCCACATGTCCAACGGGGAAGGTCCAGGAATCAGCGATCTTACTGTTGGTGAACAGAAAATTATCTCCAAACTGCAGGAAAGTTTTCCTAATGCAACCCATATACAGGTTGCAGACGTCTCAGGTAGTTTTCTTATTCGCTCGCCATTTTTAAAAAAAATTCTGAAACATATTGATGTATAAACAGTCTAGCACACACTTAACAAAATCGGCAGGAGGCAGAAATATTTTATATTTTTGCTATGTTACGTATTTTAAATGCAAAGGAAATACAGTTGACTCTGCTTTATGTCGAAGTCACTTGAGTTGATCATTGGTTAAGTTGATCTTTGTCTCAGGTCCCAGGGCCTTTTCTCTTTCATATGAAGTCATTTATTTAGAACCAACACTAATGTTGAGTTCATCCCAAATTTGCATCAAATGCACTTGAGTTGTTTCAAGTGATTCTTTTATTCCGTGCTGCAAGTATGCAACGGCTAAATTAATTTTTTTCCTTGTGTATCGTCAGATGTTTCGCATCAGTTTTGACACAAATGATTTAACTAAAAAGTACAGTCATGTAGAGCTGGTCAACATTCAATAGCCTACATTGTACCTCAATGAAACTGGGGGGAGAGCATTGAGCAGGTATGTGTGGGACGTCCACTATGTCTTTTGTACTTCCCTTCCTCTCAAGCCCAAAGGGTTAGGGTATGGTGTGCTGCAAGATAATAAATTACTGCTCGATAACATACTCTACTGAAAAAGTATTCCTAGCTGTAACGCTCTATCTGAAATCCTGAGTCCCTGTTTATATGTTCACTCTAAAAAAACTATGTCCAAGACATACCTGTCTAATATGTACGTTTTTGCTGTGATCTGAAGTTTATTTCAAACTTACATTGTGCATTTTGAGAATAAACAAAATAGCTGAAAACGATAGTTTTTACATACTCAAAAATACAATGTAATCAGCTGCAGTGAGAGCATGAGTTTTTCGCCTACGTTCTGATAGTATTGTTAGTTTTGCTGCCAGTAGACGTTTGCACATCCCCCCCACACCCCGTCGTTCTCTATATATGTCTTTCTCCCTTGTCACTCTCTTTCTTATACATGCACACAGACTTGCACATGAGTGCGCTGTGATTAAAGAGGTAAATAATTGTTGTTTGATAACCGCCCCCTGTCGTTGCCACTTTGGTTACAGTCCTAAAATTAAAATGAGCATCACATGAACAGATTTTGTATGTCTCTCTTGATTTCATGGTCACAACGATTAAGTTAAAACACATATATGAGTTGATCTTTTTTCACTTCCCAGGTATCATTAACCTATCTGTAGTCAACGGTACATGTATTTTAAAATTACAAATTCGGGACCTGAAAATCTATATTTACTATTTTTGTGCGTTTCACTATGTGCGTGTTTGATATGTGCTACGTGCTAGATTTTATTACATTTGCACTGATGCCTATAGGTAATTGTAATTTTAAAATGTTTGTTTTGCTATTGCTCAATTAATTATCTGGTTTGAATGAAATGTTTCCCATACTATAAACCTACAAGTCCATACTTTGTCACAAGCATAGTTAGAGAATGTACTGTGGCTCTTTTTTTATGTCTTATTTTGCTGTAGGGCCATTTTGTGCTTTTCCGTTAACTTTTTGTTCTAATTGTCAAGCCTTCATTTTTGTTGTTTCAACATCAACGTCAACCTCACTTTAGTATCTCTTCTTCACAGTCCAGGAAATTGTGACTTAGAGAGGTTCGACTGTAGTGCAATACTATGTGGAAAGTCAGAGAAATGAATTGGGGACAATCAAGTTGATTAATATTGAAATAATGTAAATTTTAATCATAATAATTAATTAACATCTCCTCAATGACTATCAAAATGAAAGTTCGGAAATGCTTTTTATAGTCAACCTTTCTAAATGGCTGTGAATGCTGGATAATCACTGAAGACCATGAAAATATAATAGAAGCAACAGAAATGTTGTTTCTTAGGAGACTGTTGAGAATATCTTGGAAGGAAAAGAAATCGAATAAGGTAGTACTTGATGAAGCCCACATGGGACACTCACTGATAAAAACAAGGGAGTTTTGGGAACACCTGAATTGACATAAAGCTCTTGATCTTCTCGCTCTCACTGGCAAAATTGAAGACAAATGAGGCTGGGGTGTGCCCAGAGCAATCTACTTAGAGAACCTACTGGGGTAATGTAGCTTTTTTAAGAGCATCCAAGCAAAGGAATGAATGGACATCCATAATCGCTGATTTCTGATGCTGATCTGGCTCTTGGTGATGATGATGATGAAATTACTTTAAGCTTAACATTTTTTTTAAACCTTTGGCTTGAGAATAGACTAGATTACTCTTCTGTACATCTTAAGAAGTACCAATGACTGAGGAGGCACTCCATGAATGAATCGTTTTTCCCTCAGGTGGTTGTGGTGCTATGTATCAGATCCTCATCGAAACTCCAGAGTTTGAGGGCAAGAGAACTGTGCAGCAACACAGGATGGTCAATGAGGTAATTAATATTATAATCATACTACATTGCTGAGATTTCTGAATTTTGTTCTATTTCTCTCATAGAGGTTGTTTTGGATTAGTATGTATGCTCCTACTCTTTTTATACAAGATACCCCTCTTTCTTAGAATAATATTGCCACTAGCACTTTGGGGACTTTTTTTTGTATATCAAACGGAGGAGTGACCTATTTGATAGTACCGGTATATAATCTTTGAGTATATATATATACCATAAAAACTTTTTTGGATGTACAATGGATTCCTAAGGCTGCACGGACAAGAATGAGTTGCTAATCGTTTTCTTTTGAAATGTGCTTTATATAATATAACTTTTACTCTAAAAGTAAAGGCAAATATTGTATTTGTTCCGACATGTCCTTTGTCCCATCTCAAAATATGATACAGTAGTCTCCGCCTAAGATCCTGGTGCTCGGGAGCAAGGAAAATGCGGGATCTTTGGTGAACCGAGATCTTAGCCGAACGGCCAGGGAGAAAATTTCAGTGTAACTCATGGTCAGGCCCAAATTTGTTCTGTGATCTCCCCTTACTTTAAAACGAACTGACGTGATTACTGGGCACTGAAAGTTCTTTTAAGAAGTCGGTTTTTCCTTTTTTTTGTATGGGTTTGGGAGTTGGGGGTGGGGCTTTCTAAAAAAATACTCTGTCAGGTGGGAACCAGTTGCCTTCAGGCAATGGCCCCCCACCAAAAATTATTGTTTTCATCTCTGACGGAGTTCCCCGCCCATGTCATGATGAATCATAAATCATTGTGTTGTGACCACACCACACCAAATAATTTTTTTAAAGAATGAAAGGCAGGCTCACTGCCAACAGATGACCACATTACGCAATGACACGGGTAGGCCCTCCCCACCTAGTATATGATGTAAGATCAAGTGGACGGCTCAGGTGATCGGGGAAAGAAGCACGTCAACGAGTTCACACTACCTTGGAGCAAACCCGTCTTGGGCAAACATTGTAACCGCTTACCGAGGTTTGCAACAGATGTGTGATCACATTCATGAGAGTGGATAATCCATAAAGGCGATGGACTGTACAATGATAGCACATTTTCGCTACTTGGTTGATCAGCTGAGCGCACCCAGGTTTCTTATTCTTTTTTCTTTTTTTCTAAACTCTCCCCCCCCCCCCCCCCCCCAAAAAAAATACCCCCAACTAAATTATGACCTGAAAAGTGAAATCTTACCTGAATGTAGCTCCTTCAGTACGGGTCAGAGAGGGATCTTAGGGCTGACCTTTATAGTAAAAATTATGTTTTTCCAAAACAGAAGGATCTTAGGCGAACTGGGACCGTAAGCGGTGGGATCTTACTCAGAGACTACTGTATTGATAGTTATACTCATCTGAAATAGAGGGATGCACAAATCAAAAATAATTTCTAAAACTTAATTTTCAATTTTTGGCAATATTTCCATTGTCAACAAGATGTGATTTAATTTCAAACTTGACTGGAATGTGTTGAAAATTGAGGATTGGGGACTGATCTCTTTATTAGCATCTGCTTAGAATTGTGCCCTTTTAACCTTACAGCCCTTTTGCATGTACAGCCGAACCTGTCCAAAATAGAATTAGAAGGCAGACAGAGAAAAAATCCAAATCAGGCATTCAGACTTTTCCCCGTCTTAGACCAGTGAATTGAAAGTGGGGGGGGACGGGGGGATGTTTAAAAGGGCCAGCTGTACGTCCATCTTGTCTTCAAGTGATGGTCAAAACTTCACCTGAGTACATGGTGGCCCAGATTCTCTATCTTTGACTTTGTAAATTTTTCAAACAACATCATTGAATCACACCCGGGATCTGATTTTATCGTCCTTTATTTCACTTCCAAGAGTACTATCTCAGGTCATAAATGAGAGGTAGCCTGCTGTTGAGCGGGGATATGCGCTATACAAATGCTATCTATTATTATTATTATTACTATAGATTTAGATATGGCTGAGTTGTCTTGTATGCCTTTTCTATTATCGTGGACCTGTGTTTGAGTAGTTTTCTTTGTCAGTGTCAGCTACTTCACAGTGAATTTCAAAGGTTTGTATAGTTTTAGGACATTAGCCTTTGAGTCTGCATCTGTTTGTTTTATGTCAGGACACACAGTGCTCTGTTTTCGAAGTGGAATATTATGTTCCTAGAAGGTCAGTGTAGGTAACATGTTAGGTTATGGCCATGTGGCCCATCTGACCTGAGGTTAACATGACTAACTGCATATACTGTCCTGTTCATTCCTATTTTTCATCTCAAAGTCTCCTTTGGCACTTGCAACATAGCAGTCTGTTAAGCACCTAGACACCGTCATTCAGGCATTTCCTATTTTGTCCTTTCTCCAAACTCACTTGCATACGAAATTCTGTGTCAGAAAAAAAGATAATTTTTCATCTTACCCCAGGCTCTGAAGGAGGAGATTAAAGCTATGCACGGCTTACAACTGACTACTAAAGTGCCTTCTGACTCTGATTCATCGTAATGATGGACTGGCCCCGCACAAGTCTCTCCACACACCTGATGTTTTTGCCTGATGTGGATGTATATTTGCCACCTTTGTTTTTTGTAGATTATTCAGGAACATTGTTGCCCATTTACTAACTATTCTTTACTAATGTGGGGATGTTGATTTTTTGTCTTTGGACTTACCACACAATGTCTAATTATACTTCGTTTTTTGTTTTTTAATGAGCACATTTTAGGAAATGTGCTGCCCTTGAAATGGGAAAGGTTTTGAATGCCATTCTCCATTTACTTTCTAAGGTGAGAGTAGAAAGCAGTTTTCCCTTCTTATAGCAAAGAGAGTGAGAGTCCCAATCTCTATAATTTAATTATTTTGAAGGGGACTTACTTCATCTCATTAGTATTGAAACTAATTCAATTTCTTAAAAATTGAATCGGCCTTATTAGCTGACTTTCTCCACCATTTTCACAATTTCGTTAATGATTGTCTCTTGCTGCCAGTGTAAAAATTAGTCTCATTGAAGTCATCTTTTTGAGCCTGCTAAATAGTTTCGTGCAGAAGTTTGATTATGTGGCTCACTTTTTGTTATAAGCCAGATGTAAGGTTTAGTCGCACAAGTAAAGATTGAAACAGAATGCAGCATGCTCCATCCCTTTTTTTCCCCTCAGAATTTGTTGTTGCCCATTTTATTATTTTTATATTCTACATATTTTTTCAACCTGCTCAATTTCCTTTGCAGTGTTAAGTTAATCATTGAAGTCACTGTGAGATTGAAGCATTCTTATGAGGTTATTTTTGTGATGTTAGAGGGCTGGTGCTGTCGCTCATAACTTTGCCATATTTGGGATTTCCGTTGGACTAGTTGTTTGTTTTGGGTTGTTGTTGTTTTTTTCAGATGGCCTCCTTTTGCTTGTGCTAGCATAAAAACAAAACTGTTTTTAGGTTATGTCTCAGAAACATTGAAGACGTATAAAAAGAGAAGAAAACGAACTCCATTGGTACATGACAAATAAATTGTTAACATTTTTGATTGTTTTTATAGAAGGGTAGCAGACTTGATAATGGTGCCCTAAGTAAGTTGCAAATTTAAAATGGCAGTGTGATAATTGTGTTGAAAAATCACTGTGATGATATTTAGGAAGCAGAGTAATATATGGAGGCACAAGGTCACACTCTCACATCATGTACGTACTACGAGTAAAAGTTATGTTTGTTTTTGTGGACATGTGTTTAAAAGCTTGTGTGTTCATGTATGCTTGTGTGCATATATATGCAACGGTGATCGTACATCTCTGTGTCCAGGCATACAAGTGTTTTAGTTGGCTTTATGATTTTTGGGCCTAACTGTTGATATAACATGTCAAATTTATGGTTCTGGAAACAGAAACAAATCTGAAAAGATTCTGTCATCTCTACCTACTGTTGTGATCTACTTGTAAATAATGACATGTAGTTCAAGTCTACTGTAAATTCTAGAATGAATACACACAGCTTTTTTTCTCAGTTAATCTTTTATGTCTGAAATATCTGATATATTATGGAGGGTGGGGGAAGGGGGGGGTCTGTATTTTTTATTAATTATGTGTTCACTAAAACTTGTCCAGTTCCCAAACCATATGTATGAGATATTGTGTACATGAAATAGTTTTATGTTGTTGTTCCAAAGCACATTTGTGTTCTTTTTTGCATTGAAATAATGCAACGGAATATTCTGTTATGCATGGACAATAAAAATTATCGTAATAAATCAAAAAGTGAAAATGAGATGAAATTATGAGGTTTCATGTGCCATAAAGAACTTGATGAAGCAGAGATCCTGGTTGGATAACGGCATAACATGCATCTGAACCGATTCCTTCATGTTTGAAAAATGACTTTAGGCTGTGTTCAGTAATTAGTATTACAAATTACACTCTTATTATCGAGCTCATGTGACCTTAGGCAGTTGCGAAATCACGTAAAGCACTTACAAAAGAAAAAATTAAAAGACAAATTATCTTCAAACTATTACCTCACAAGCAACTGTTACTTTATGGTCTTACTTTTTTTAAATGGATTTAATGAAAAAAAAATTCCTGTTTTAGCTCAGTAAGTGTCACTCCAAAGTACTAAAAAAATTGCCTTGGTTTGAGTCTCCTGATTTAGACATTTTTTAATTTGGTTGATCTTTTGAGGAATTTTCTTTTTCTCTATTCTCCTGCTTGCTTCTTCATCTTCAAACTTTAGAAGATTGACCATAGACCTGAGGTTTAGTATTTTAGTAAAACTTTCCAACTTCTTTAAAAGGAGTGCAAAGCCCATACAATAAGGGGAATATTGTATTATTGATGAATGCATGGGGTTTAATTTAGTTTATTTAAATATTCCAATGTTCCTGTTCCCTAGTTTTTCATTGTGGGGGGGGGAGGGGGTAAATGCAAGTAATTGTTTGGACAATTTTTTCAGAAGTACCGGTACCAAGCTCATTTCTAGTCGTATAATGAGCAACACAGTGGGTGCTCTGGAATGGTCTGCTCTTTGTATTTCTTTTCAGAACTACAGTTATACTCTTATCTTCATCTGGTCATGAGGGTGAATGGTTTCTGTTTTCTGTTTACTCACTGTAAACTGCATGCATCTCTGCAACTGCAATAATTTTTTTAGCTTTGTATATATGCTTATATGGGTAGGCATATGAGCATAGACCATAAAGCACCAATCAATTTCTGTCATCAATCATGTTGCATAAACAAAACAGTTAATGTATCCTACCTGAAACTTTTTTTTCTAAGTTTGCACAGTTCTGATCATATTTTATAATATTATATGTATGCAGCCAAATACCTTTCCTCTTGCCTTGTGTAAGGTTTCCATCCAGCAGCAGACAATAACACATGAAATGGAAGTATGCCTCTATCAATTTTTGTACTTTTGTTGTTGGAAGAAGACTTGCCATTCAAATTAAATTGTTTTCCTCATATTAATGTATTATAATGTTTTGTCACTGTTGTAGTCAGTTTACCTATCTCAGAGGTAGACAATATTATTCAGATCCTAGTGTTCCGGTACTTGTCATTTGACTGTGTCCTCTTTTTTTTTAGATGCCAAGACCCATAGAAAATAATATATAGCTATTGAAAAATAGTCCTGTCCAAGGTCTCACTCCAACCCTTTGTTTCTGATTCATGAGACAAACTGGAACTTTTTTTCTTTTTTTTTCATTTATTCAGGGAAAAAAACAAAAAAGAAAAAGAAAAACCTTCTTGAGCTAGGCACGTATAATGACGATTTTTTACTTTTTGTTTTTATTATTATATCTTGATCTCATGAGGTGATATTACAGTGTAGTTTGAATCATGTCTATACCATCATATTCTCCCATTAACACTTTGTATTCCAGGTCTTGGTGAATAAAGTATTTTAAAGTAAGCACACACCATGTTTTAGAAAGCCATTTTGCTTTTGTCGAAACGGATGTGAAAGACAATAGTGAATGTCAGCTGACAGGAGATTGGACTTTAGTTGTGGGTGGTTGGTGGGTGCTCTGGTGTGGTTTGCTTTTTCTTTCCTATCAAACATCTTATCATCCTTATCTCCCCTCCTATTTAGATTTTGTGTTTGTTACTCACTTGTACTTGTAACGCCTCTAATATTCGGCACTTGTATATGACCTTATTGTGTTGCAAGTGCCGTAAAACTCTTACTAAAACTAAAAAAGACATTACTTGTCACTTGTGTGAATGACCGACATCACTGCACAAAGGGCATTCCCATAAGCACTCCGTCCCCTGAAGAAGCACATCTCGAAGTGTGTAGATGCTGACGGTTCCAAGTAATGGTTGATTCCTCCTGCTCCTCCCACTCAGTCTTGAACTTCTGCAGGCACCCCATCCAATTTCAAGCCACGAAGTCGCTCAAGATGATATTATTCCGTCTCTTTTTGTTCTTTTTCTCTTTTTTCCTTGACTGAACGTACAATTTCAGGTTTGTCAGGGCACAGCTTCCCTTCTGGTTTTGCTTTCCCAGCGAGCTCATCTGACTAAAAAGGAGATTAGTTTCAAGAAGGCAATCTACTACTGGCATCTTACTCTTACGTTTAGTGGTTAGGCGTTTTGCTGTCACTTGCAGGAGACCCCAGTTTGATTCCTGAGTAGGAGATAAATTTTTATCGAGTTTCTCAATCTTTCTGCTGGGATGTTGTGTCACTCTCACTCTCAGCCTGGGTTGGCCCTAACAGCTGGGTAAGAATGATCTGAATTGTGTGGATGGTGGCGTAAAAACACCTACATAAAAGAAAAAGATGCACTGCTCACCCAAACCCTACAAACTCCAACAGTTTGTGGATGACAGTGTGTTACAAGTTACAGCACAAATACAATGTTTATAGTCTAGGCATTACTTTTCATAAATTAGAAAAACCTGGCGGTAAGCGGGGAAAGGTGGGTTGGCGATTTTGTGCGTTTGGGGGGGGGGGGAGGATGTTGTATGTTGTATAATTATTATAATTATAACGAGATTTGACTGTAGTCCTTCTTTTTGTTACGATCTGTGTTTTGTTTAACTCACATGCAGAACCCCCCCCCCCCCCTCCAAAAAAAAAAACCCAAACGAAACAACTACTACTAAAAGTACTACGTACTAACTACTATACACTTCTGCTCTTAGATACAATAACTTATAATTTGAACATGAATCTCAGATTATTGGCGGATGGTTGACGGGTACTTTGCTATGCTTTGCTCCTTCTCTCCTGTTAAACATTCATTGTTCTTATTTCTTCTCCTTTTATTTTTGTATGTTACACTTTAGTAACCCCTCTCTAATCGGCAGCACCTTTATGACCTTTTTCGTTTTGCAAGTGCCATAAAACTTTTCTGTATTATTTATATTATATAGGCTACAGTCAAACCTCGTTATAATATTGCCACCCTTGGGACGAGCATGAATTTTGCGAAACATCGAGGCTGACAGTTCAACAGTCTTCCTTCGTTGTCCCCGACTGCCCAACGTCAAGGAACATGATTCTGCTGTGAAATGTGTGTTTGAAATGTATTTTTTGTTGGCGATGTAATGCACTTGTGTTCAAAACCTTGGGTGTTCACTCTCTCTGTCTTTATTTCTTCTCATTATCAAATAGCTTACCAGTTGTTGCGCGCCGTGTGTAGTATGTACCGCTGGTGGTCAGGGGGCTGGTGGTATGGCGGGGCAAATTTACAGTAGTTAAATAACCGTACAACTAAGACAAATGGCGGTGTGAAGGCGCAGATACTAATAACACTATGTTTATATTATACAGGCGTTCTTTTTTGTACTGTATTGGATAAACCTGGTTGTAAGGGGTTCTTGCGGTATATAACGGGCGGCATTGCAACGAGATGGGACTGTATACTGTATACATGATATAACAAATTTTGTTTTAACATTCAGCTTTCAGCTTTCTGGCGTCTGGTTTAGTGCTAAGGCCCTTCTCTTTGCACGCAAAAGATTTTATTATAAAATTGTCCATGTTCGATAGTAATAGTATCAGTACAGGGCCAAGAGGGTGGATAGTCCACAAAACACCATAGGCCTACTTTCGGCAGGGTAATGTGGCATAATAACACCAATGGCTACGAGGTGGGCCTCTGTGTTGCCAAGCTGTGAATAGTTCTTTTGAAAAACAAACATTTATACTACGGTACATGTATTGTATTGTATGAATGTAAACACTAGCCCATGTAGTTGTATAAGACTGCCCCTGCGGTTTTATGCAAAACAAATTCTGAAATTATGCAAACTGAGCCCAAAAATGTGAAATTATGCGATTCTGTTAATTGTAACTAAGAATGATAAAGGAAAATAATCAGAAATTATGTTTAAAAAATTATTTTAAAATTGCTAAATGATGCGGGGCGCATAAAACCCCGGGGACAGATATGATAGGCTACGATGTGTAGGAAAGTGAAAATAAGTCGCCTTGACTAATTCACCACTCGTTTCTTTGTTTGACAGGACGGTTGGAGAAAATTCATAGACCCAGTTGGAAGCGCAATAAACTTAATCTTTTCTCCTCAGTTGGGATTTCTAGGGGCAAGTAGGTTATAAACGGTAACTCCGCACTGAGCGTTGAGCAGACCGGTAGTGGGTGCACTTTCCTTGAAAGGGAGGTTTATGGGGGAAACAATAAAGGCCGGTCGTAAATTCGTATTGGTAACGGCGATGCGAAGGGAGGAGGGCGAGGGGGAGAGGCGGTTGTGGTCTGTTCACAGACCGATCTGGGTATGTGACTGGCGGTTAGTTCACGTGCTCCGGTCGCTACTTGCAGGGGGTCACGGGAAGCCGGCGCACCGTTCCGCTCCGTCCAAAACAAAACAGGCACAGTTCTTACAGTTACATTAAGTTACAGCAAAAGAGATGTCCTCTCCGCAGCGAGAAGTACGGGAAAACATAATATAAGATACATGATGTAATACGTATATTGTACATTGTACCAGAGACTAGACGGTCAGAGAACGGTCAGGTTAGTATAAGAACGTATAGACCAGAGACCTAGCAACGTAGACAAGATAGTAGGGCCTACAGCTTGTGGCGCTGTCCGTGACAACAAGTGCTACACGCAGCGTAAACGAAGAGAGCTGTTCTATTTATAGCCTTGCGGCGGTAAACATACTCTCAGGCCCGTTTGTTATTGTTCTAATGTGGGTGAACGAAACCAATTTGTTAGTGTACTGTGGGGTTCCAAATAAATGGGGGAGGTGGG